TTTCGACCAATTTGCTTAGGCGGCCAACTTAGGACCACTCTCTCCTAATTTTCTTTTAATTAATAATTAAATTTTAATTTTCTTTTATATGGCACAGTGTAAGAAAAGTTGGTAAATAACAACAATTATTTGTTCAAACAAATGGAAAATTCATCATAAATTTTGTCAAAATAAATTATTTTTGTTGTCACAAAACAATTTTAGTGAAAAATTTTTATGATTCTAATTTTTTTTGCAATATACAAAATAAAAAATATTAAATTGACCCGAGCAACTGTCGGTAGTCTCGTACATGAATTGATAAACGTAATAAATAAACAAAAACAAATATAAAAAAATTTTCAGTATCATTTTTCGAATGTAGAGAAAAATTTTGTTCAGTGACTAAAAATCTCGATTAGTTGCAAAAATTAAGCAGATTTTACCAATCTTTATTAATTAGTTACCCCGGGCAGTTCTTGGTGGCTCAAAGATTTTGTAAGGTTAATTTAAGAATAATTTTCTTAATATTAATTTTAAAATAATAATAATAATTTTCTACTTACGAAATATGAATTATTTTTTATTTAAAAAAGACGAGAATTTAAATGTACTAGGGTAAACATTTTTTTCTAGTTTAGATGCAGGTATCGTTTTTTTCATGAAAAAACAAAAAATCCAAATGTTTTTCATATAACATCAAAGAGATATTTCACTGTTTTGTGTTTATGTGGTGAAGGGGGGAAACAACTAATACAAGAGTGCCAAAAAGGTAAAACTGAATTGTTTTTCACAAACGAAATGTTTGACGATTGACTTGAAATAAAAAAACAAGGAAAAAACACGATTTTATTCGACTAGAAATTTTTTATCACTTTGAAAATATTATTATAAAAAAAATTGCTCGGTCTGCAAATAATTTATGTTACGTCTATTTGTTTCGTTATTTTATTTCTATTTTAATGTTGTACAATAAAACTCTGTTAATTTAAAAAAACGAATTTAATTAAAATTAAACCAAAAAAGCATATTTTTTTTTAATTTAGATAAAAATTCTTATTTGCTATTTTACATTATTTTAATACTATTTTTAAACTCTTAAAAAATTATAATTTAGATTAAAAATGTTATTCATATTAAGAAGCTTTTTTTATAATTTAAATAAAAATTTTATTAGCCGTTAAAAAGCATTTTTATGTGCTTTAAATATTAAGTATTATTTACCATTTGTTACTATTTTTATATTTAAAAATTGTTCTTTAGGTACAAAATTGTTATTTAACAAAAACCTGTTTCACATTTAAATAATAATTTTATTAGCACAAAAAGCATTTTTATTTACTTTAGATGAAAATTGTTATCTTCTATTTTATATTCATGTAAAAATTGTTAATTAGATACAATACTGTTATTCAGAAAAAGAGTTTTTCTTAAACTCAAATAAAAATCTACTTTAGCGCCATGAAACCTTTTTATATAATACTAAATAAACAATCTTTTTGAATTAAAAGAATTGTTTTGTTTGAATTCAAGTTTTCGACCCCTAATCCAGAAAAACATTTTTTTCACAAATTTTTCTATAAAATTCTGTTTGAATCAACAAACTTCAAAAAGAAAACTTTTCCAAAAATTTTTTTTAACAATTTATATCAAAAAATGTTTTTTTTTAAAGTTAATTAATATAGATTTTTTAATTTCACGAACTTTTAAATTTCTTATAAAATTCCATTTTATTTTTATAAATATACTTTTTTAAAAAATAAGTTAATTTCTTATATAAATATAATAATATTAATACTATCCATTCTTTATTATTAGTTTTAATTAATTTTTTCAATTAATTAATTTTTAATTTTTTCTTGATGAAAAAATTCTTTAAATAGAGTGTATTCGATTCAAATAAAAATTATTATATTTATATATTATCAACAATTTTAAATTAACAATTTAATTAATTTTTTAAATAAATTTTTTTATATAAGTAGGTAGTACAAATATATTTTTTATATGCATAAGTATAATTTTTACATATAAATATATTTTCTATAAATATATTTTGTGTGATGTATGTATGTACATTTATTCCGTTCATCGTGGATTCAGCGAGGAGCGTTGATTGGGTGATAATATTTTCATCTAAAGTAGTGACAACTCAAAGTAGGAGAATAGACGCGAATATAACGTTCAGAGGTGGCATTAAAACGCATCGGAGAGCTGAAGAGAAGGGAATATGAAATAGGATTTACTCAAGTTTTAATTGCCACTCATACGTGGGAGGTTCAGTCTCCATATTGTGAATGTGTAAATACTTTTATATTTATATATATGTATATAGTAGTAAAAAAAAGTGCCAGTAGTCAGTACTTGGAAGTCGGAAAGAGTACTTTTTACATATATGTATACATCCACATATTCATATGCAATCTACATTCTTTCTATTTCTTTCATTTCACACACAACTACGTGCCTAAAATTTCTCTCGTTTTCTCCTATAACGCAATATGCGAGATAAATTCAGAAAGAGAATTTTTTTAAACGCCGAAAGGAAAGAGTATTTTTATTTTTAAAGATTTTTTACGATATTTTTTTTTAGTTTTTCAAACTTTCCATTTGGCAATATTTGGGTCTATTGTGTTCATTTCAGTATCATTTTCATATTTACTTTCACATTCGCAAATTTCATTTTTTATTTTCATTTTCAATTTTACTTTCAATTTAATTTTCGATTTCACCTTCATTTTGACAAAATTTCAGTTACAATTTAAATTTCAGTTACAATTGCACTTTTACTTTCACAAAATTTATTTTTTATTTTAATTTTCAATTTTACGTACTTTCATTTAGAAAAAGGCAAAATTTCATTTTTACTTTTAATTTCAATTTCATTTTCGATTTCACTTACATTTTGACAAAGTTTCAGTTTCATTTGCTCTTTTCTTTTCACAAAATTTATTTTTTATTTTCATTTTCAATTTTACTTTCATTTAGATAAAGGTAAAATTTCATTTTCAATTTTACTGATAATTTCATTTATGATTTCACTTACGTTTTGACAAAATTTCAGTTTCAATTTCAATTACAGTTTCTTTTTCACTTTTAATTTTATTTTCGCAAAATTTCTTTTTTATTTACATTTTTAATTTTACTTTCATTTAGAAAAACGCAAAATTAAATTTTTATTTTTACTTTTATTTTTCCAAAATTTCGTTTTGAATTTCATTCTCGATTTTCCTTTTAATTAAAATTAGGTAAAATTTTATTTTCAATTTCAGTTTCATCTTCACTTTTACTTTCATTTTCAAAATGTCATTTTCAATTTTACCATCATTTTCACTTTTACTTTCACTTTGGTAAAATATCTTTTTGAATTTAACTTTCACTATGACAGATTTTTATTTTCAGTGGTAGTAATTTTTTCTTTGATAGGTTTTTATTTTAATTTTCACCTATATTTTTAATTTCAAAAGATTTTAATTATTATTTTCTCTTTCATTTTCACTTATATTTTAATTTTAACTTCTACCATTACCTTAATTTTTACTGTTTTTCAGTTTCTTTTTCATTTTTTCTTACATTTTTAATTTTATTTTTATACTTTGAATATTTATTTATTTTTATTATCATTTTCACTTTCAAATTTACTTTTAATTCTTTTATATCGTTATTTAATTTTAATTTTTACTTTTATTTTATATTCATTCATTCATTCATTTTTATATTCATTATCGTATTTGTGTTTGCAAAATTATCACTTTCACTTTTCTTGAAATTTATTTTCACTTCTACTTTTACTTCGATAGATTTTTTCCTTTTTATTTTACTTTCACTGAAAAGTGTAAATGAAAGTTAAAACAAAAGTAGACAAAATTCAAAGTCGGAGTAAAAATAAAAGTAATAGTGAATACAATAAATAATTAATATAAAAGTAAAATTAAAAAAGTTAAAATTAAAGTAAAAATTAAATCTGTCAAAATTATTGTGAAACTCAATAGAAAATTGTCAAGGAGAGAGTAAAACCGAAAATAAAAATCTATTAAAATTAAAGTAAAATTGAAAATGAAAGTCCAGACAAAAATGAAAATGAAAGTAATAGTGAAAGTTTAGAACAAAATGAATTAAGAAGTCAAAAATGAGAGTTAAAAACATGAAATTTAAAGTCAAAAAGAATATGAAAGTCAAACTGAATGTAAAAGAAGAACAAATGAAATTTAGTCAAAATGAATGTAAAAGTCAAAATGCATGTGAAAGTCAAAATGAAAGAGAGATATAAAATGAATGTGAAAATGAAAATGAAAATGAAATTCTATTATCGACCCCGGGAAAAATGAAATGATAATTTTAGACACGAATTTTGAATATTTTTAATATTTCTTCCAGGTAATGAAGAAATTAATGACGATGAAGAAGTGAAAAGAAAAAAGTTTGCAAGACTTTTTGTTAGCAAGAAGAATACAGTAGTGTTTGATTGCTATCGTCATGTATGTACTATTGAAGCGTTACGAGAAGCTTTACACCAGCAGCGGACTTCCGCTGTCGGTGATACAAGACTCGTAAGTGTTGCTGTGTGTGTTCACTCCGGTAATTCAAATGGTAAACAGCTGCCATTTCCCGTCGAACCATTTTCACAGTAATACTTGATAAATAATCAAATAGACCTTCATGCCTGAGATTTGCTCAAAGGAAAACAAAGACGAAGAAGAAAAACTCTCCCAGTTCAATCAAAACCTTTTTCTATTTTAAAAATAGAAGTTTAGAAACTACTTTAAAAAAAAACTTTCCAAAATCTTCTAGTTCAATCTAAACATTTTTCTATACTCTTATTTTTCTAAAAGTCCGAATTGTGCCTTCTCTATAATATCAAAATAAAAAAAAAAGAAATTTAAACGGAATGAAACAATTTTTTTTGTTTGAAATGAAAAAAGGAGAGATTGAAAGAAGAAGAAGAAGAAGATTGAAAAAAAGCGAGATTAAGAAGAGGAAAAATTGTGAAATAGTTGAATGAATGATATAATTATTGTTTAGACAAGACTTTCTTTTATTAGAAAAGAGAAAAAAGTGTTTTGGTGGATGAAATTGGTGATGATTATCGACGGCACGTGGGGCCTCGATGAACGTCATTCAGCGAGCATGAAGGATCCATCGAAAGAAACGGTTTCCGAGGTTGCTATGGCACTTTTCGGAATGGTTTGGTTATTGCGAGTACGCTCGGAAATGCGTCGATGCTCAAAATGTCGTCGCGAGGAGTTTCTAAATGCGCAACAGCAGCAGCAGCAACAACAACAGCAGCAGGTGCAACAGCATCACCATCACCATCAGCACCATCATCAACGAGCATTATCACAAACGACCCTTCATACCCCTGAGGATGGTGTTTCGTCCTCTGCAAATACCCTCTTCACTCTTGATACCCCCGGGTCTACTGGAATTACCGGAAGTTACTGCGAGGTTCATGGCTACGTACCTCCCAAAGAAGGTATTTCAAAACCGGTATTATTATTATTATTATTATTACTATTATTATTTATAAATATCCCAGAAATACTCTCTTTTTAACATTATTATCTCTTGTTTTTATTTCTCCCTATGATAATTCAATTGTTTTTCGAATTCAAAATATTCAACTCTAAAAATATTACATTTCATCCTTGCAATATTCTATTGGAATCTTCGGAATATTTCTTAAAAATATTCTATTCACATTCCTGGAATATTTTATGGGAGTTTTCCTAACATACCTTTGGAATATTTCGAACAAATTTCTGGAATATTATGTTAAAATCTTCGGAATACTCCTTTGGAATATTACATTTACATTCCTGGAAATTTCTATTGAATTTTTCCGAATATTCAATTGGAAGCTTGTCAACATTCATTTAGAAGCATTCGTTTACGTTTCTGTAAAATTCTACTGAAATTCTCAAAATATTCTTTTAAAATTTTTTATTGTAACAGGAGTATTACAGGTCAGAAAATTTAGGAAAAAGTCAGGAAATTTTATTAAAAGTATTAGAAAATATTTAATTTTTAGAATTCACAAAAAATTTCTGAATTTTGGTGTCTTTTCTGTTTGACTCATAAACTATGAAATTATCACGAATTCTAATAAAAAAAGATTCAATTTTTTCTATTTCTGACAATAATTTCCTTTTAAATAATTTAATTCTTCAAGAACTATCATAAAATTATTACTTATAAATTATTTCATGAATAATTTTACTTAAATATTTCAAAACTAATTGAATTTTAAAAGACCTGCGTTTAGAATTTTTATAAATAGATGAAATTCAAAAGATTTTAATTTGAAATTTTAGAAATATATATATATATATATATATATTTAATTATATTTAATTAATTATTAAAAATAATGGATTTATAAAAGAATTTTAGTTAAAAACATTAAAAATAATTGAATTTTGAAGAAGTTATAAATGTTTGCAAAAATTCAATTATGTTCAAAAATTTTTAAAAATTCTCGTCATAATTTCAATTATTTTTAAAAATAATAAATTCTTCTCCAAAATTCAATCATTTTAAAAAATTTTAATAAAATTTTTGGCAAAATTTCAAATCAAATATACTAGGAATATATGAACAAAAATATTAATTTTACAATTTCCTCCTGGATATTCAGGAATATTAAAATGTGGATAATTTCATGGAAATGTATTTCATACATACTTGGGGAATATTAAAATATTCGCATTTTAGATTGTTCCTTTGGAATAATATTGAAATAGATTATTATAATTCTTACATTATTACAAAAGAACACTCCAAAAGTCAAACTACATTTTAATAGTCCTTAAGAAGGATGGAATATTCTAACAAAATATTCTTAAAATTCGAATAGAATATGCTTGGATCAGGAATATAACATTACGTCTTTTTGAGAAATATTCTATTTCAATTTTTGTATAAATATTATTTTTATTACTATCAATAAAATAATATTTCTACAAAATTTTAATGGAAATTTTCTTATACAACATTTTACGGGGAATATTCCTAAGTAATAATTTGATTGAATATTCCTTAAAAATATTTTATTGTAATATTTCTACGAGACATATTGATGGAATATTTGTACACTGTCTCAAAGAATAAATTAAAAACTAGAAATTTGTCATATTCCTAAAATATAAATGGAATATTAATTTATAGTATTCACAGTATTTCAACGGAATATTCACGAATAGTGAATAGAACTTTTGGCGTTATATTTCTTTATTGAAAATCAATTCTTTTATTTCAACTCAGTGACTTGTTTTTTTTAATCGCACAAGTGAGAAAAACAGTTAAATTGAACATTTTTCTATTTGCCTCTATAGAAAACTGTGGTAATATAAAGATTTAAGCAAAAGATGAGAGCGAGATTTTTACCAAAGTTTGTTACTTTAATCGTAAAAATTGCAGAGAATGGCCGATATAAAGTGGACATTAGCTTAATATCTCGAAGGTTTATTCTTCAAAGAGGAAAAAAACAAGTAATATTAAACTTGATATTTACTTCTCTCAGAGATCAAAATATTGTAGAGAAATATTTTAAATAAAAATAAATAAATAAAATATTTTATACAAAATATTACAAAAATATAAAAACTTTATAAAAAAAGTTTTCATAAGTTTCTATAAATATAAAATTTTTTTTTAATTATTTCAATGTTAATTTTTTAAAGGATAATTTCGCAAAAAAACGAAAGAAATCTTTAGATTTCGATTAGTGTTAGCTTCTTTTTTTTAGGTGTTTGGCATTAAGGTGATTAAGTGAGCGGGACAGCTTGGTGGAATCCACCAGAGATCCATTTGAGGGAGTAATCAGGAAAACAAACGTTCCCGAGTCCTGTTTTTTTCCTCACCACCCATTCCCCCCAAACAGGCATTTCTAACAGAAAGTGGAACACGTTTCCTTGGTGGTCCAAATTTATCGGCTCGGTTGTCATGACTACGCTCGTTAAACGCCGTCATGTGTACGACTTCCTCTCTAGACGAATGAAAATGAAAAGGATATTCTCCTTTTTCCCATTCACACCCTTTTATGTACTTTCAAATTTCTCTAAACTTTACAAAATTTTTTTATTTTTTGTTTTCAAATTTTGTACTTTTCTACATTCCACAAATATATAACAGAGAATTATTTCATTTAGATTACTTCACATTAAAAAATTGTCTAATTTATCAACTACTTATTTCAGTATGAACTTACAAAAATAAATTAATTTTTACGAAGAATTTTATTAAAATTTCTAAAAATAATTGAATTGCTTCAAAGAATTTTGTTAAAATTTTGAGAAATAAATGAATTCATTTGAATAATTTTATTAAACTTCGTGGGAATTTGTGAAAAATTTGCTATTTATAAGGTAAGGGGCCGTCCATAAACTACGTTACCAATTTTTTGTACTTTTTAGACTCCCTCCCCCCTCGTTACCATTGCGATAAATGTATTTTTATGGATTTGGGGACCCCCTCACCCCCTAAATTGGTGACGTAGTTTATAGATGACCCCTAATTAAAAATTAATAAAATACATTCCCACATTCCAATAAAATGGCCTAAAAGATGGAAAATTTAATATTCTTGAAATTTCTAAAATCGGAAAAAATTAAGCAAAAAGTTCCAATAAAATATTTCCGGAATTTAAACAGAATATCCTGTGCTATTGATGAATTTTAACAATAACTTTATTTTCATCTAATTGAACGTAAATCAGGGTTGCCTGAATGTCAAGGTCAAGGAAATTTATAAGGAACTTCTGAATTTTGGTCTTTTTTTAATATCTATGATATTACCACGAAACATAATACAGAAACTTGAATTTTTTCTATATCTGACAATAATTTGTTTTTAAATAACTTAATTCTTGAAGACCTATCATAAAATTATTACTTCTTAGAAATTATTAAATGAATAATTTTAGGTACATATAAATATTTCAAAATTAATTGAAATTTATAAGAGTCGCATTTACAATTTTTATAAGCAGATGAACTTCAAACGGTCTTAATTCCAAATTTTAGAAAATTTCAATTAATTTAATTAAAAATTATAAAGAACTTAAATTTTTGAAAATTTTTAATAATTCAAATTTTTCTGAAATTAGTTACATTTTTTAATATATATTTAATTAAATAATTATTCAAAGTAATAGATTTATAGAAGAATTTAAGTTCAAAACACTAAAAAAATTGAATTTTGAAAAAGTTACAAATGATTGCAGAAATTCAATTATTTTCAAAAGTAATAAAATTCTATGCAGACATTTAATTATTTCATAAATAATAAAAATTTTATATAAATTCAATTATTTACAGATTTTTAATAAATTTCTTTGCAATAATTTAATTATTTTTTTAAATAATAAAGTTTTTCACATTTTGTAAAAAGAAGGCATCTTATTTTAAGACACTATTCTAGTCACTTCTTCTAACAAGTTGTTACGAAAACTTATAAAAAAGTGAGTTAAATTTATTTAAGATCCCAAGTGCGAAATGCCAAGACTGCAAAAACGGCCCATCATTGGTGCAGTAATGTCTGCCGAGAATTGGCAGTAGTTACTGGGCCATTATTGGTAACCAAAACGTCCCATTACTGGGCCAATGATGGTGCCGATGGTCAGAATTTCAAATTTTTTAAGACTGGGCCAGCTCTCGGCCCAATAACGGCACATTCATGGCAAAGTTTATCAATGTTTAATGTCAAAAGACAATTGCCAGTGATGTGCCGACCATCGGCCCAGTAATGGCTCATTATTGGCACTTTAATGGCAAAAAATTTGTATCGTTCATGGCAAATTATAATTACCAGTATTGGGGAGTAGCTTGGCTCAGTAACGGCATAATATTGGCAAAGTTGATCAATCTTTAATGGCAAAATTCAATTGCCAGTGATGTCACGAAGATCGGCCCATTAATGGCACATTAGTGGCACTTTAATGGCAAACATTTTGTATCTTTGATGGCAAATTATAATTGCCAGTATTGGGGCGTAGCTTGGCCCAATAACGGCACGTTATTGTCAAAGTTGATCAATCTTTAATAGGAAAATTCAATTGCCAGTGATGTGACGAAGATCGGCCCATTAAAGGCACATTAATGCCATTTTAATTTGGTATAATTTTTTATAAGAATTGAAATTTAAGAAACATTCAGGTATTCAATAAATTATTTATTTTGTATTTAAATAATTGAATAAGCTTGAAAAGGATTCAAATTAAAATATTTGAAACTTTGAATTTTCTATATTTTTAACTGTCAATTTTAAAGAATTAATTTTTTTGAAAAAGTTTAATTAAGTATTAATTTAAAAAAGAAGTTATTAATGTTTTCATATAATTTTACAATTAAAGAAATTCGTAAATAAATGTTACAGAAACCTTTTTTTGAGTAAAATTTTTTCTTTATTATCTAAAAATTAAGAAATTTTCAATTTCACTTTCAATTAATATTTGCAATTGACAAATAGAATTTATAA